TGTGTGTGTGTATATATATACTTCAGCTTAAAGCATTTCACCGTGCTCAGGCATTGTCTTGAGAAACCGAACGCATTAAAGCATTTTGTACTCCTAGGCTTCTTTGCAGTTACATACAGGATACATGTGTCTGACATTTTTGAAAAATATATTTCTTTCATGCAAATATTCAAAGCGCTTCTGATTTTATCGGGTTAAGCTTCTTCTCAAAGTTTTTCCTTTGTTCGAGTTTTCTTCTTCTTGTTCTTGGCCACTTTGGGACTGTAGTCCCAGCTGGGAACGATATGCTTCCCTTGAATCTCTAAAAAATTGATGCTACAATCGCGAGTTATATGGGCGGATTTTGGTATCATGGGACGAGAAATCGGGCTCAATGATTTTCTGCTGTAATGCTGGACAGCAGGCGATGGTGCCAATGATCTAAAATTTATAATTCGAATTATTCTTCGCTCTTAAATTTCGACTATTTAAAGATCAAAGAAATGTTTGAACTGCGACTAGTGCACCTATTTTTGCCGTTAGGAAGTCTCGAAGTGTCTATGGGAGCGAGTCGGATATTTTTCGGCCAAACAGTAGGAGAGACAGAAGCTTGCCAGGCAGAATGAATATTCGGATTTCTCAAGAAGGCACCAGACTTTTTCGCAGAACTTTGGAAGCCAACGTTTCGAACTAATCCTAAAATATTGACGATTTTTGTTAATATCAATTAATCAATTGATACTAAAATAACTCAATATTAGCTACCTTGGGCGGAAGAGATTTCCAAATCCTCGTTCATAAATTTAATCGGGATGGTCTTTACAGTAGAGAAGCTTTCTCGAGTAGACACTGTAAAGGGCACAGGGCTTACAACAATCCTTTCATTAAAAATAGTGCCAAGCTTATTTCTGCCTATATGTGGCGTGCATAACCGCTCTTTGGACTTCAAAGCGTCATCTTCCGTATCACAAAAGTCTCTTAGTTTATTTGCAGAGATTGACTTCCTTGACTTCCTAGAAATCAAGTACATATTAAGTAACAACAAGCGCGCCTGCATTATTTTACTTTCTTTTAATCTTACTTCTGAATTCCTTGAAGATTTGCATCGTTCTTTATTGTCTGAAGGAAACTTTCTGTATCCAGCAATCGATTTCTTATACTTATAGATTTGTTCTCGATATAATTAGGCGAGATTGCTTCCTCTGTCCAATTTGCTTTTGAATTTCTTGACGAATTTCTATTACTATGAACAGGAGCGGGAGCTATTTTTAGGACGTCAGTCAAATCGTCGCGCAAAGAATCTGTTTCATCCTTTTCATTAGGAAAAAGCTCCGAGATTACATATTCCATCATCATGTCGAGAACATCTTCGAATTTTGCCTTATTCAATTTGTATTGCACAGAATCCTCTCCTTCCTATAATATAAATAATATAAGTATTTTTTACATATAAGTATATAAAGAATAGTATAATATATACGTGTAGATTACGACATACGAAAGAAACTCTTTCTTTACCTTCATTGAAAGATTGCGTTCTATGAATACTTCATCGTTCTGCAGATCATCGAGTCTCTTTGTCTTCTTACTACTGGAGCCAATGTCACGTTGTGTGCTGTTGCTGTCACAAGTCGGGTTCTTGCCAACTATTCTCAGATACGGTATCTGTGTTTTCCACTGCGTGCACTCGCTCAAAATAGAATCTTTAAGCATCTGAGTGTCCTCCTCGTAGAGGGTCCTCTCCACGACGGTCCATTGCTCCTCCAATTTCTGAGTTGCCACGCTCTCCACCTCCTGCGACCATGAAACAGATGTTGCCGCACTGTTGCTATTGGACAGGGTGTCATTGTCTTTTAACGCTTTCTGCCGTGGCAAACTAGGTAGTCGGAAACGACCATCCCATTCGTCGTCGCAGCCATCCTCCTCGTCCTTGAGTCGCAGCAGGTGCTGGGGAGCCTTTATCTTTTGCGTCAGCGGGCTGATCCTACAAGACGAATAATTCCCAACAATTTCAATAATTAACAATTACTCAATAATCATGGGATAATTTCTTGAAATTGCGTAACATAAATAAATAAACTTACGTGCTTCTGCTGTTGATGTTGTTTCTTCGCATTTCATGCTTTCCCCGAGGGTCCTCGCCATCAACAAGAATCAAACGGCGACAGTCTCGTCGCGAAGATACTGCAACCCGCGTGTTTTCGATGATGAGAGAGGGAGAGGAGAAATACTTACTGTCTCTCTTCCAATTTCTGACGTTCGTAACGTCCTCGACTGGGACCTTTCAGGACTGGGGCTTTCAGCGGAGCGGTCGCGTGGCCGCCACGCCTATTTTTACCATTCATAATTTCTGTTTTACACCTCACGCGAGCCTACTAATCCTACTATCGATCCCGTGCTCGAATCGTGATTGAAATCTGAAATATTGACCATGATATAACCCACGACGAGGTTCGCTCCACCTCTTTGCGCATGATATAAGGGTGGTCCCAGAAGTACCCGACCTGACGTACAGATGGCGGTTGTTGTATAAAAAAAAATCACTGTAGGGGAAAGCACCAACTTTCTAAAGCTTAACTATGAAGTTTGAAGACGCTACGTTGTTCAGTATTTGTTTGGCAGTCATCAACAGTGGACGATCTCGGATGAATTTGCAAAGATGGAAAAAATTGGTCATCGTTATGTGATACAATACTTTCATTTGAAAGGTCTTAGGCCAACCAATATCAAAGCCGAGCTGGATTCTACTCTGGAGGAGTCTGCTCCTTCGTTTACAACAGTAAAATATTGGGTGGCAGAGTTTAAACGAGGCCGTACGAGCTGCGAAGACGAACATCGCAGTGGTCGACCAAGTGAAGTGGCCATTCCAGAAATGGTGAAGAAAATCCACAAAATGGTATTGGGTGACCGTCGATTGAAAGTGCGCGAGCTAGCAGACATGGTGAACATTTCAAAAAGTGCTGTACATCGCATATTGGCTGAAAATTTGGGGACGAGAAAGCTATGCACAAGGTGGGTGCCCCGCTTGCTCACAATCGAACAAAAGCAGCGTCGAGAGGATGTTTCAATCGAGTGTTTAGCGATATTTCGCAGCAACAAAGCCGAATTTTTGCCGATTCATAACCATGGATGAAACATGGGTCCACTACTTCACACCTGAAACGAAGGAACAGTCGAAGCAATGGACTGAAAAGGGGGAATCGGCTCGGAAGAAAGCAAAAATAGTTCCATCGGCAGGCAAGGTCATGGCGTCAGTTTTCTGGGATGCTCGTGGCATAATTTTCATTGATTACCTTCAGAAAGGAAGAACAATCAATGGTGAGTATTATGCGAACTTATTGCAGCATTTGGGTGAAATCAAGGAAAAACGGCCACATTTAGCGAAAAAGAAAGTGTTGTTTCATCAAGACAATCCACCAGTTCACACATCCATTATCGCGATGGCCAAAATCAATGAGTTAAAGTTCGAATTGCTTCCCTACGCACCCTATTCGCCAGATTTAGCCCCCTCGGATTATTTTCTCTTTCCAAACTTGAAAAAATGGCTCGGTGGTAGAAGATTTACCAACAATGAAGAGGTGGAGTCTGCGGTTAATGGCTATTTTGAGGAGTTCAACGGTTCTTACTATAAACAGGCCATCGAAACTATTGAACATCGCTGGGAAAAGTGTATCGAACTAAAAGGAGACTATGTTGAGAAATAAAGATATTTTTTCCCAAATTTTTTGTGTTTTCTTTGTTAGGTCAGGTACTTCTGGGACCACCCTCGTATGCTATCGTACTGAGGGTTGTGAAGGTCTACAGAAAATCCTTATTCAGCTGAGACACGAACCTACGTTGATGATACAAATCTCTACTAACGTAGAAGGAAAACGATAATTTACTTTTGCCGGTAAATTATTTCTGTAACTTACAGGAAGACGATTGTGTATCTCAAAACAAGATAAAAATTACAAAAGTTAACAAATTTACTGCGTGTTGACCAATAAAGTTACAAATGTTTAAATTTATGAATTTGCTCACTTTTGTAATTTTCACCTCGTTTCAAGATACACATGTATACACGTTCTATGTATCCACCATG